CCCCCGCCCCTCACCAGATCCCAAGGCTTATCATTTATCTCGAACACAGCCGAGAGACTCGCTGCGAACCAGCAGAACGCACCCAGCGGCATTCCGTATTGACATTGCCGAGGAATTACCGAGGTCGCCTGGTTCTCGTACCACTCCCAGCTCCGCACCGATACTTGTATCAGGAACTGTACCACCAGTGTCGCAATAGAGAAGAATACACTGCTGCCGCATAGATTGGACGTGCCGAAGAGATCACTTTTATTCATCTCTATTCTTTTTTCTTTCCTTTTTCTTCGATATGCAAAGGAGAATGCCTGGGATGGGACGAATCGCGGTTTATATGAAGCTTTGAGACCGAGATATTATCAATGACAGGTACAGGATTTTTTTTCCTCCAACGTTTGGTACCAGCACCTACTTGGATTCCTAGGGAATTTCGCGTGGGTTTCCCCTGTCGATAATTACTTGACGTAATAAATCCTTGACTGGAGACTCTTGCACGGGAGGCAGCTACTAGAGACGTCAGCCGTTCATTGCCTGACGTTTAACTTCTTATTAATTTAATCGGCAACTCAGGTATCGAACTTGACGATCATTATACTTGCATACTGCATTCGTTATAATGATTGATTCCGTTCTGGGAGTTGGCACGTGTTCTACTGTCCTACGGGAAAGTGCATAGAAATTTTTATTTTTATTATTATTAAGTTCCATAATATCGATATTGATTATCGATCGGTCGCTCGTCGTGCGTCAAATTACCGCGAGCAATGCGATCCAGAAGCATTTTTTTCGGATAGACACCATTTCCAAGAACAGACTGAAATTGAATTGATTCTCCTTAGCATCGCGCTGCGTCGCGGCGCGTTGCCTGGAAACTGTAGGAGAACAATTCGTGAAGCCTTGGAATTCTGGTCCATTGGTAATTGAGCCATTGCCTTGTACGTATTCCCTCTCTGGTCTTATACCACCCTCGCAGTATTGCCAACTGCCTGCCAGGTAATGTCAACGTCCTTACCGGGAACCGCGTCATCCGCCTGTCAACCAGGCGTAAGAGATTCCTCTCTCTCTCTCTCGCGTCAAGGCCGAACTAGGGGGATGAATAAAGAAACAAATGATAGGCACTTGGACCGAAAAAATTGTTAAAGACACTTTGACAGTGTCGAGCGAGACGTCGAACAAGGAAGTCGTATTGATTTCCTTTCGGTTACTCGAGGGTGGCGAGACTGGTCGGTTCGACGTACGTTAGTGGCCGATGTTAAATTACAAGAAAGGAAAAGAAAAAAAAGTAATGAGAAAGGATCCTGCGCTTTCGTAGGGATTTGCGAGAATCGAGGGAATTCGCGAATGCGTTCTCCGTGCATAAACCGCGTATGGGGTGAAAACGTGTAATTTGAAGTTAGCCGCGCGTACCGTGAAATCGTAAAATGGCCAATCGGACTTTAAATTATTTTTACTGGATTTTTAATAAACCCTCAAGTTATTCGCGCTTTGTCTTCCTGCTTGTCGGGAGGCTGATATTTAAACTGAAGGGGGAAATCGCAGATCAAAGGAATTTCAGTACTATTCGCACCCTTCGACGTTCAGGTACAAAAGACCCTTACCGATTTATATACAGATTGGCTACCGTCCTCGCGCTCGGAACGCAGGATATTGCGAAATTAATTTGTTTCTCGCTTCTTTGTGGACCGCGCGCGTCGCGCTGATGTATATTTCTCTTTAACATTTTCCCAATCTTCCATTTTTTTTTTTTTTTTTTTTTTTTTTTTTTTTCCTTTATACCTCGCGTAACGCCGTGTCGAATATTTGCAAAGTCGAGCTTCCAGGAGCATCGCGAGCGATTTTCGCGAAAAGCGTGCACGAGGCAGTGAATTCGCGAGAGAAATACGCATTGGAACGCGTGGGGTCAGCGGACGGTCGAAGGAGTGCTGGTTCTCATCCCTGTTAAGGAAGATCGGGTGGTTTGGGGTTGATCAAAAAAAAAAAATAAATAAATAAAAATAAAGCGAAGAAAGGGAGCAAAGGCCTTTCCAACAAATTGCATCGAGATTAGCCAACGATTTTTTGCAAATTCCAGGGTTAATGAGATTCCCGAGAAAAGCTCTTTTCCAGAGGCAATCGGAGGATCCTACCGGTGGTTGATCCCGATGATTGACTCGTGGTAAGAGAAGCCCGAGAGCGGAATAGGGGATGGAAGGTGAAGGTAAGGGAGGAAGGAGGCCGAGAAAGTATGCAAGTAAGTGAGTGAGCAAACGAGGGAGAGAGAAGAAGAGACGCAGGGGGGCAAGTTTCGAGGGGGGTCGCGAGTTACTAATGAAAGGTGGTGAGTAAATGGGAGACGAGTAAACACGCTGCGCCTCCAAAAATACTAAAGTACATAGTTGGCTGCACGATGACGTAGATTGAAGATTTCAGGTGGACCGTGGTGCGCGGTGCCAACCGCTGCGTGCAAATATCCGTGCAGTTTCCGGGGCTTGTAAAAAGATGGGTTGAAATACACCGGATTCACGACAACACATCAAACACAGATTCTGATCTGTTTTCGTGCGTGGATCCTGGACGCACGGCGTGTGCCGGGAGAAACGGGCAAACAGAGAATGTACGCTGTGAAGTCGGCGCGAATACGCCGGTCCGAATGAAATATAAATTCTGCCTCCGATAGCCTGACCTGTGACCTCTCGCGAAGCGATCACAGCGCGTAGAATATTGCACGCGAAAATACAAACCGGATAGATATTAGATTTTCGTCAAATATTTTTCAATAACGAAAATGGTAAAAATTGTGCTAACCGAGGATGGGGCGCAGTATTAACGCCCGAGGGTATCCCGCCGGTCACTCCAGGGTCACATGCGTCGAGAACCCGTACGAATATCCAGAGCGCCGGCCGCGTGCAGCCACCCTTGTTTTACGGAATATACCATTGTTTTTCAAAATTATTTGATTACCATTGTTTAATCGCACACCGAGCCATTTTTCTACAATCCGACAGCAACAGAGCGGCCATCCCCCTTCGGTCCTCGTCACTTAACTCGATAGCCGAGTTAAGTTCACCCACCAGTTTTACGAGTTTAAATCGAGTCTGCATATTTCGGCGTCACTCTTCGTTATCATCTTATCCACATCGTAGCTGCACGAGAGAAAGGATGGACCCAGCCTCAATTACATCTCTCAAGATGAAGAAGGGATGCTGCGAAGAGAATGCAAAGGCAAGCTCGATATCCGAGCAATTCGAATGAGTGGGTAGTGAGGACCTTATTACGCAGCATCCACGAGGTCCAATGCTCTGTCACGCGTGTAACGGATACCGCAATTTACGAGACGTATTTGTAATACTGATAGCGAAGATAAAAAAAGGAATAGAATTGAACAGGTATATAGGTATAGGCACGTAGGCACGTAGAGGGTAAAAGGAACCACTTAGCCGAAACTGTGCGACTCTAGAAGTCAGCAGCTATTCGGCAGACGTCAGTGGCGCCAGTGGACTACCTTAAAGTCTCCCTCCTCCCCGCTTCCTATCCGGGAAGAGGGTGAGAGGGCGTCGCCTCATTCCCCAAAAGCGTCGCAAGAATTATAAAGTTGGTAGAAAGAGAGTACCAGCGAGGAGAGAGGTTCGGAGGACTTCTTTCCATCCGAGCTGAACCCCCCCCCCCCCCC